CGCCTCTCGAGATCTGAAAATCAGTATGTAAGTTGTCGTAGTAGTTCTAAAAATTACTCAAATATCCACACTGGGCATTCGAATGCACTTGGGACACAAACAAATTTTTTCTCCCTGTCACGGAGGGCATTTCACAAATTTAAATCCTTGTTTGCGGTAAATTTTATAATTTTAGCTGAAGAATAATTGTCATAACTGAGAGGTAAATAAAAAATATAGTCACCTTTTGCCGATATTCGTTATGATATTTAAGAATAATGAAAAATCATAGTCACCTTTTGCCGGTATTCGTTATGATATTTAAGAATAATAAAAATGTAGTCACCTTCTGCCGATATTCGTTATGATATTTAAGAATAATAAAAATGTAGTCACCTTCTGTCGATATTCGTTATGATATTTAAGGATGAAAGCCTTGTCAGCGTCCGTAACTCCGCACGGTCCTCCGTTGGCATCAGCGGGACAGTTCTTGGCCGGGATGCAGGTCGTGTGGTTGCTGCCGTACGCGGCACACAGCGGGTCTACGGCTGCTTCGCTTGCTGTAAATCAAACAAAAATAATACGTGTGTGGTCATTTTATGTTCGTACTTATAAACATATTACATATTATTAGATATTCGCTTGCTGCAAATCAAACGAAAATCATAAGTGTGTGGTCATTTTATGTTCGTACTTATAACATATTACATATTATTAGATATTCGCTGGCTGCAAATCAAACAAAAATAATAAGTGTGTGGTCATTTTATGTTCGTGCTTATAAACATATTACATATTATTAGATATTCGCTGGCTGCAAATCAAACAAAAATAATAAGAGTGTGGTCGCTTTATGTTCGTACTTATAAACATATTACATATTATTAGATATTCGCTTGCTGCAAATCAAACAAAAATAATAAGTGTGTGGTCACTTTATGTTCGTGCTTAAAACATATTACATATTATTAGATATTACTTATTTTATTGCTGAAAAATAAAAGTTCAAATGAAGTTCAAATTTAGAATATTCTTAATAATAAAGAAAATTCTTGCAAATCAAACAAAAATAATAAGTGGATGGTCATTTTATGTTCGTGCTTATAACATATTACATATTATTAGATATTACATATTTCATTGATGGAAAACAAAAGTTCTAATGTAGAATATTCTTAATAATAAAAGAAAATTCTTAATAATAAAAGTTCAAATTCTTCAAAAAAGTTCAAAAAGAAAATTATTAATAATAAAAGTTCAAATGTAGTTCAAATAAAAATTCAAATGTAGAATATTCATAGACTTATAAAAAATTACTGGTATAAGCATTACACGAGTATATAGCAAAAAGTTATTTGGATGATTCTTATTAACTGCGCCTTATATTGTTAGAAGTAAATTAGCATTGATTTAGATCCAGACGAATTTTTTTATACTCACTTAGAACGAAGCAAGATATTCCGAGGAACGCGAGTACAGTTTTGGCAAGCATTTCAACCTGGAAAAATAAAAATTTAATTATATTACAAACTGCCGAACAAAATTTGGAACTTATATATATTGAAACACAAACTCGAGTTTTTTAAATTTCAACACATTTGCACGTAGTTGCCTGCAGGTATTTAAATGACGGAATTACATATACAATAGTAAAATCCGAAAGCCAAGAAACTAGTTACGAACTTTTAATCTGTGAATTTCAAGAATTATTTAGAGGGAACATTTCCACAGATAAAAATAATAGGAGATCTTTGGTAGTTATGACAAGTGAAGAATATTCAGGCTGAAATTCGATTATTCCACGAGAAACTCAATAATAATAAAATAAGAGATAATATTAATAATAAAAATAATAATAATAATAAGAAACGTAAATGTGACTTGTCCTAATCAAATTACAAGTCACGACAAATAGAAGTTAAAGAAATGGAGTCAGGTTATTGTATGATAACTGGTAATCAAAGAACTTAAGAACTTACTGAAAAGAGACGAGTGTTT